ACAGCATTGTGAGGGCCACACTCTACCCTAAAGGTAGTCAAGAGCCATTGAAGGTTCTGGGATAGATAAACAGCATTGTGAGGGCCAATCTGATAGCATCTGCAGAATAAATGAGAGAAGCCAACCAAGTGGCAAAGCAGGCACGGATAGAAATGAGAGCATTTAAGAGTGTGAGAAATGAGGAAGGCAGCAAACGGGACAGTTGGTTCTGAGCCCTGATCGCTGGGACAGGAAGTGGTCGAGGGTGTGTTAGGAGAGGAGCATGTGTGCAGAAAGCCCAGGGCAGAGTTCTAGGAGCAGTTGGACGTATGGATGTGGAGTCTGGGAGGGACATCTGCCAATTTAATATATGTACCAAGCAACAAAGACCCAGCAGAAATGAAAGGGGGTGGACAGAGCTGGTGTCAGTCAGACCTGAGCCAGAGCTGGATCTGTTGCAATAGATAGGGCCTGGGTCAGAGGGGTCCCAGACGTCCCTGGGCTCAGCATGTACTCCGGCTCCCTTCAGGTGCCTGACTCAAGCAGGCTGCGTGCACCACTGCTTATGTCTCTCACTGTTGCCTGCTCAAGTCATGTGACCCATGTCCATCTGTCCCATGTCTTGATTAACAAGAATATGAACATTTCATACCCTCCCGGCCACCCCTAGTGGCAGATTGCATCCTTGGTCACATTTTTGCAGGAGAAACAAATAAATACATACATAAACCCAAACACTTGAGTTCCTTAATGTCAAATCATCTGTCACTGAGCAGAGCTGAAAGGAGTCCAATCCTGCAGCAATCCTTTCTGACCCTTCATGGAACAAATCCTACCTACAGCCAAGCATCTTGTCTAGCCTCAGGTACGTGGGGACAGTCCTTCCATCCTGTTCTAGCCTATTGTGCACCTCTTCCCCCATTCCCAATGCCAGGAAGCTGTACAGAGGGAGTCCCTTAGCCAAAGCCAGCATCCTGGCCAGCCACCCTCTTCCCTGGCTGTTCAGTCCATTGCAGAGAAGCCCTGGGCAGCCACTTCCTTTCCAGGTGCTTCCGGTCCAAAGTCTGGTGGCCTCAAAGCCTCCCTGTCTGGGTGCTGAGTCAGCAGCTCCGATTCACAGCGGCATCCTTGGGGACACCACTTCCTGCCTGACAAATGGGCCACAGTCAGCCTGCAGGAAAACCTAGCAGGCAGCTGCCTGGACTACTGGCTACATGCCATAGGAAGCTAAGGCCCACAGAGTTGCCAGCTTCTATGTCTTCTGCCCTCTTTTATCCCCTAGATGGAAGCAAGGCCTGAGAGCTGGGACGTGGCTCAGTGGGTTGAGGGCTTCTGAAGCTCTGGCTTCAACCTCCAGCCTCTCACAAGTCAGGTGTGATGGTACATGCCTGCAATCTTGGCACTCCATGGTGGGGGCAGGAAGATCAAGAGTTCAGGGCCATCCTTAGTTACATAATGAATGCAAGGCCAGCCTGGACAATAAGAGACTCTGTCTTAAAATAAAAACAAACCCTGAGTCGGTCAGTGCTTCTGGGGTCCCATGTCTTTCAGCCTTCCTCACTGCTGCTCGTGCCCGTCGTCAAAGGCACCTCGGCCTCTTCACTAACCCCGTAAGTCCCACAGATCATCCCTACCTAACTCATTCTCTCAGGTGCCTTCTCCTGAGTCCTAAAACAGGAATCAGGCTCATGTCTTCCCCCGCTAACAAATCCCCCACACACACCCCTCCAGTACGTACAAGAAAAGTCTTACATTCCTCTACCTGACACTCAAGGCTCTTCTTGGGATGTCTTCCCATGTGTCAAGCTACTTCTTGTTACTGGGGTTTACCCCAACGCTCACTTGTGAATGTCTGCTGAATGTGTGGGGAGCCAGGAGTTCCCTCCTGATCAGACTAATCATGTTTCCCCACAGCACAGCTGTCCCTCACTCCAGAGGGTCCATGAGAGGATTCCAGAGTGGACGCCAAGCTTGCTCCCTCTCATTCCTTTTCTTCATTCTGGACCCAGGAAGTCTACCACTGTAATTTCAGCCAAGACACTCCATGGAGCCCCTGCAAGAAAGACTACAGAGTGCCCTGGCCTCCTGGTAAGTAAAGACCAGCCACCCTCACCTTGAAGCTACTGCAAGCTTATCCAAACCCAACAGAATTAGGACCCAAGGATACTCTCAAGACATCACCCAAGACTCATTACCCCATACACTCAGAACAGCAAACCTGACTGCTAACGAGCTCTGGGTCAAGGTGCTGTGGACCCTGGGGAACTCAATAGGGATTCTTCTCCCACCATAACCACTGGCATCACTCCAGTCTCTTTTTTAAAGATGATGATGATGATGATGATGATGATGATGATTGTAAGAATGCTGGACCCCTTGATACTGAACACAGGTCCTCTGCAAGCGCAGCAACCCTTAACCACAGAACCACCTCTCCAGCCTGATTTGTTTGTGAGTATGTGTAGCTGCATGTTTGTTTGTACATGTGTGGGTGCAGGCACACGTGGGTGCAGGTGCCCACAAAGGTTAGAAGAGCATCCTGAAATGGGAATTAGAGAGCTGTGAGCCACCACGTGAGTTCTGGGAACCGAACTCAATACATGCTCTCAACCACAGAACCATCTCTTTAGTCCCACCCTATAGTCCACTCCACACCCCACTAGCCTCCCATAGAGAGGACAGAAGGGAGAGTCACAGAACTCTAAAAATATCGGCTAAGTTCCTAGATCCAGATATGCCTAAAACAAGCTGCAGACCTAGATGGACCAATCTTCATCCAGTTCCAGCTAAGTCTCTATCCTATGCAATGGAAAGAGTCCTTGTAAAAGGCTGTGCGGACAAAGGTGACTCATATGTGTGGATGCTCTCAAGTAGCAGACCCCGGGACAGCAGGTGGACATGTCTTTCAGTAGAGCCCACTTTAAGATACCATGAGGGCTGCTCAGTGGCACCTGAGAGCCATCACAGCGTCCACGTGCATCCTGAGGGCCTGGAGCAGTTCTCCAGGTAAGGCTGGGAAAGGAGAGACTCAGCCCCATCTGCTGCCTTTCAAGCAGACCTCCTTGATATGACAGCAAATGAAGACCAAGGCCTCGAAAGTGGAAGGAACTGAGTTTGATCTTCAGAACCCAGCAGGAGGAGGAGGCATGGTGGTAGGTGCTTGTAATCCCAGGGCTGAGGAGATGAGGACAGGAGGGCCCCTAGGCTCACTGGTGAACCAACCCAGCCTATGTGGTGAGTTGGGGGCCAGTGAGAGCCTGTCTCAAAGCAAAAACAAACAAAAACCAAGGTAGATGACAATTGAGGAACAACAGCCAAGGCTATCCTTTGGCTTCCACAGATAGTAACCACACAGGCACACAAACCTGCACACACACACATATACACAATGGCAGAAAATGAGCCCAAGGTTTGGGGTTCTGACCTTAGCTCTAACACTTCACTGTAGTCTTAAAAAGGTCTCCCACTGTGGTGGTTTGAATGAAGATGACCCCCACAGACTCATATATTTGAGCAGTTGGTAGTTGTTTGGGAAGGATTAAGAGGTGTAGCCCATGGGGGCTGGAGAGATGACTCAGTGGTTAAGAGCACTGACTGTTCTTCCAGAGGACCAGGGTTCAATTCCCAGCACCCAAATGGCAGCTCACAACTGTTCTAGAACTCTGACACCCTTACACAGACATACATGCAGGCAAAACACCAATGCATGCACACACACACACAGACACACACACAAAGAGGTGTGGCCCTGTTGGGAAGGTGTTTCACTAGGGGCAGGCTTGAGGTTTCAAAAGGTTGGCACCATCCCCAATGTGCTCTCTGTCGCCTGCTTGCAGCTCAAGATGTAAGCTCTCAGCTGTTCCTGCCACCACACCTTCACTCTGCCTCTGCCTCATACTTCCCGGCGTATGAGCTGGGATCATACCCGGCTCTTACGCCCTTCCTTTTATAGGCTGCTTTGGTCATGGTGTTTCATCACAATAGAAAAACAACGACTACACTCACCTTTCTTTAACAACAACAAGAACAAAAACTCCAGGGCTGGAGAAGGCTCAGTGGAGAAAGTGGTGCTGCTCTGGCAGAGGACCCTGATTCCCAGCACACACATGGCAGGCCGCAACCATCCAGTTCCAGATGTGACCTCCTCCGGTACCAGGCACACATATGGTGTACACACATACATGTAGACAAAACAGTCACACACATAAAATAGATGAATCTTTTTAAAATTCTGTAATTATTTACACCCATTTAGGCGTGCACTTAAGTGCATGCCACAGCATGTGTATGGAGGTGAGGGGACAACTTGTGGGGGTCAGTTCTCTCCCTTCACCGTGTGGATCCTGGGGACTGAACTCAGATCCTCAGGCTTGGAAATAAGCACCTTACCACGCTGAGCCATCTTGTCAGCCCAACCTCCTCTCTCTGAGTTCAATGTTTATAAAAGAAACTTCCTTATGGTGAACTATCATGCAGCTCACATTGAAATTCACACAGTCATGTTACCATAGAAGCCACCAATTATCTTCTTAAATCTGGTCTTCCCTTCCGTAGCATTTAGTCGGGCATAGGACCACTTAGCTAAGACTACAGATCCCAGACTCCTTTTCGGTTGGGCGTGGCCACATGTCCGTTTTCTGGCTAATCAGACTTCAGAGGAACTAATATGTACAATTTCTGGGTCGTGTCCTTAAAGATGGAGGGCACCCTCTTTTTCTCCTCCCCCTTCCAATGCATGGAATAGAGAAGTGGCAAGCCTTGTAGGAACACACTGCCAGGGCAACACCCCAAGCATTACAAAGCAGCAGGACAGAGGGTCCCTGGGGCTATGGCTTCAGCCCTGGATAT